AATGCTTATACGACAAATGGGAATTCGAAATGTGAGACACAACGTGAAGATAAATGTTTGTAGCACGCTAGCGCCATTTGTAAAAAGAACGTGTAGAAGTAATGTTACGCAATGTTGGCAATAACGTAGTGATAGGTTAGTCAAGGAGGCCATGAGTTCCAGAGATTTTGAACAGCTCAAGTCTTGCAAGTTGTAAAGTGATGATTTGACCAAAAATTTGCAGCGTGTAAAAACCAAATAAGTGTCCACCATTCAATAACCAATAGAAAAGAAAGAACAACAAATACAGTCCGCTCTTTCCTTACAATGTTCCTCCTTGTTCCTTTACTCCACCTATAAAGGTACTTGGAACTTTTCTTTCATCTAAGTAACCTTCTTTGTGTGTATATGTAATCTTTCTTACCTGTCTCTAGATCATGGGTTCTCAACCCAGTCCTCAAGGACCCCCTAACAGTCCAGGATTTAGGGATTACCTGGGTGTGTCTAAGGTGTTTAGAAAAAGAGAAAAAAAACACCTTAGACTCTAATCCCTACATCCTGGACTGGTATGGGGTCCTTGGGTTGAGAACCCCTGCTCTAGATGCTCCTCTCTTGTGAAATATGATTATATAACATCTAATAATCTACATCATGATCTGTACTGTAACCAAGTTTTATAATTACTCTTTTAACCATTGATTTGTATTTTCTCATTAGCTGCTGGAGAATATGGTCATATAACTCACATTTATATATTACACACTCAATATAGAACATGTACATTAATTTATAAGCATAAATGAATTATAGCATATTTGCTGTATTATTGATTCCTGTATGTAATGTTAAATTGCTTTTTATATTATTTCTACTTTTCTGATTGTCATCGCACTTAATGTGAAAAAAGTATAATAAAAATAGAATGTTAAGGACCAGCTGTAAAATGCCAAGCATACTGGTCGCACTGATTCAAAGTGGTGTTAAAACTCAGTAACTTCCCTTACAGTTAGGTAATTTAACTCTTGACCTGTTCTCCATTCCAAAAGCCCCTCATGGAAAAAAAAAAAAAGTGGATAAGAATGACAAGTCAGGCACAAGATATCAGAGACGTACTTTTGTGACCTAATGAGTGAACTCCCCATGAGCCTAGACTGTGTGCTGCAGTGGACTCTGACTTGTTGGAGTCAGATTTCCTCAATAGCATCAAGATCCATAAAAGATGGGGCTGCTCTTTCAAGAGGACATTGTAATCATAAAAGAAAAGAGGCATGCTCTAGAGCAAGCATGTCAAAAGTTGCGTGTGTTGTGACGAGGGGACTGACTTCGGGAGTGGAATGACGGACTCAGGAGTCTAATGATACATGCCGCTTGATGCCTGCATAGCGGCATGTTATAATTGAACGTGTGAACGATACTGAACATTGTCAGTTGGTATTGCGGTGTGCCGAGGAGTGGGACCAGAATCATATAGAGATGAACCGAGAAACTGTGAACAGTGTTGTCCGGAGAAGTTAGGGGGAGAATAAAATAGAGAAAAAGTAAAGAATTGAAAAAGAAAGTCAAGAGGGAACTAAAGGAAAAAGAGGGGAAAAAAGAGAGGGAAATAGAAAGGAAACAATTAAAGGAAAAAATAAGGAGGCTAATATGGCTACAAAATAAATTGCGCAAGAACAAAAATGAACCTCTAAAAGAGAAAAAAAAATCCCAAACAGGATAAGAGTCACTCCACTTACTTCTCTTTCCACACCAAAGATTTAACAGATAAATCTATCGGAGAATCACTGTCTAACTTCGATCTGTCATTAGTGGATATTAGGCATGTGCATGGGGAAAATATTCGGCTCGGTTCGGCATTCCGAAATTCGGGACTTCATCAATTCGGGACTTTGGCAATTCGGCACTTAAACACATCGGCACTTTGGCACTTCGGAACTTCGCCACTTCGGAACTTCGGCAACTTCGGCACTTCGGAACTTAGGCACTTCGGCAACTTCGACACTTCAGAACTCCGGCATTTCGGGACTTTTCTTGCAGCCGCTTGGTAGATAACTCCCTAATTCCCACGGTATTAGGGAGCTATCTACCAAAAGGCTGAAAGACCTAAATTGGTCTTTCAGCCAAATTTACTAATACTAAGTAAAAATTACTTAGTATTAGTAAATTTTGCCCCTACTAGCTATACCGCCCCTACTCGCTATACCGCTCCTACTCGCTATATTTTAACAGTGAGCAGCCACAGTGGGCCCTAAAGTAAAAAAAGGGGGGAGGACCTATTGTCCTCCCCACCAGCCCTCACCCCAGAGCGGCGGGTGGGGGCCCTAAATAAAAATTGGGGGGAACCTAATGTCCTCCCCCCTGGCCCCCACCCCTAAGCGGTGGGTGGGGGCCCTAAACCAGAATAAAGGGGGGGTACCTATTGTCCTCCCCCCTGTCCCCCACCCCTGAGCAGCGGGTGGGGGCCCTAAATACAAATTGGGGGGGACCTATTGTCCTCCCGCCTGGCCCCAACCCCTGGGCCGCTCAGGGGTTGGGGCCAGGGGGGAGGACATTAGGTCCCCCCCAATTTGTATTTAGGGCCCCCACCCACCGCTCAGGGGTGGGGGCCAGGGGGAGGACATTAGTTCCCCACCTATTCTAGTTTAGGGCCCCCACCCACCGCTCAGGGGTGGGGGCCAGAGGGAAGGACATTAGGTCCCCCCTTATTCTTGTTTAAGGCCCCCACCGCTCAGGGGTGGGGGCAAGGGGGGAGGACAATATGTCCCCCCAATTTGTATTTAGGACCCCCACCCACTGCTCAGGGGTGGGGACCAGGGGGGAGGACATTAGGTCCACCCCAATTTGTATTTAAGGCCCCCACCCACAGCTCAGGGGTGGGGGCCAGGGAGGAGGAGATTAGGTCCCCCCCAATTTGTATTTAGGGCCCCCACCCAAAGCTTAGGGGTGGGAGCCAGGGGGAGGACATTAGGTTCCCCCCCTTATTCTTGTTTAGGGCCCCCACCCACCACTCAGGGGTGGGAGCCAGGGGTGAGGACATTAGGTTCCCCCCTTATTCTTGTTTAGGGCCCCCACCACAGGCTGCTCACTATTTAATAGACATGCCCCTACTCACGATATAGCGAGTAGGGGCATAATTTACTAATACTAAGTAATCTTTACTTAGTATTAGTAAATTTGGCTGAAAGACCAATTCAGGTCTATCAGCCTTTTAGTAGATAGCTCCCTAATATCGTGGGAATTAGGGAGTTATCTACTTATTCATTCCTGTCATTACACTGACTGGCTAAGTAACTTACATTTTATATGAATGTATGTTACTTGATTGTTGTAAGTGTTGCAAATGCTTACAGCTGAATCCTGGCTATGTTTGTATACTTTTTATTTGAAATTGTATACAATGTAACATTCTTCTTCTTTCACTGGGTAAGTATATTAGTACTTAGGCAATACTGTGCTTCGGAACTTCGGCAATTTCGACACTTCAGCAATTCGACACTTCGGCACTACTACACTTCGGAAATTCGATAATTTCGGCACTTTGGGACTTCGCCAATTCGGCACTTCGGCACTTCGACAATTCAGCTATTCGGACATTCGGAAGCACCCGAATGTCCAAATTACCTGAAATTCGGCCGAATTCTAATTCAGACCGAAACGAATTGCACATGTCTAGTGGATATGAGAAAAGAAAACAAGAAGTTACGGTTAAAGTTCTTAATGCAAGTCTACAGAATATTCTTGAAGAGATCAAGAAAGAAATATTCTCAAACGCACTTGAAATCAAGCTAAAAATTAAAAATGACACAACGAAACTGACCAACAAGATTCAAATTATGGAAAATCTCATCTGAAATATGAATTTGCTAATAAAATCTCTAAAATATGAATCTATAAAATAACAACAAAATAGTTTACCTTGAAAACAAAATAAATGATCTTGAAGACTGTTCTCGCAGGAACAATATCAGCCAAACAAGAAGACTCTGTAGACTTGCATTAGATGATTATTTTAAATCCCTTGGACTCACTTTAAACAGCTATGAAGTTTAAATAAACCACTTAACATTGCACCCAAAATACCCAGAGACATTATCGTCCTTTTCTATTCCTATGAATTCAAGGAGAAAGTTTTGAAAGCCAACAGAGAAAAAATTATAAAAGATGGTCCATACTCCAACATTGTAGCACTTATCATACAATACAAGATCTCAAAGAAGATCGTTTGCACCTGAAATTACCATCCTCATAAAACATAATATAAGATTTAGATGGGGTTTCCCTATCAAGCTGATTATTATTATCATACAATACAAGATCTCAAAGAAGATCGCTTGCACCTGAAATTGCCATCCTCATAAAATATATAAGATTTAGATGGGGTTTCCCTATCAAGCTGATTATTATAATTGATGGTGAAATGGAGACATTTGAACACCCAGAAAAAGTAAAGTAATGGCTCATTAATAAAAAGTTAGACTGAAGAATTCTAATCAAATGAAAAAAGGGGATTAGGCGATAAGAAAGTGGTTAATTCCTGGGTTAAAGAGTTGTGTGTTTGGGGGTTTTTTTGTAATGCAAACTGAAATTTAGGCTTAATAAGCCATCACTTTTTGTAAATATGTGTTTCACTACATTCATATATATTGATAGTTAACAAATTACACAAATGTAACAATATCTCTAAAAGAATATTTACTGGAGGTTATTAAAATGTAACAGTATTACGATAAATAACACAAGATGAAGAAAATGGATAAAGCAATTAAGAAGAAATAAATAGTATAGATTAATAATACTCACTATTTGTATACTTTTTCTTACTAGATTTGGGTTATTAATGTCTTCATGGAAACATGAAAATATAAGAGATAAGGAAGAGAAAATGACAGGGAATAGGAAAAGAAAGGGAGAATCTTTTTTTTTTTGTGCTACTCATATGAAAAATAGAATTGGTGTAAGTTAAATTGAAATTTAGACTCGGGGGGCGGAGCCGGACCAACGAGCTGACAAGACGTGTCTCACATGAGCTCCCGCTGCACGGGCTCTAATCGTGATTTCATCTCAGGCTGCAGTGCGGAAAACCTTCCACAACACAGCCATATAGACTAGGGAAGCCTGCATGTACCCGGAGACACCAAACTTGACACCCGGGATGACCAGGAACAGCAGCAGCAAGTTGGGGCCTATTAGAGATGGAGAGGAGGAAAGGCTTTTCATTCCGATGCTGAAAGCCGCATGCAAATACAGTACACCTTCTTTCTACCCCCCCTGCCCCATGGACTGGTGGGGGATATCCCGGTCCCCACCAGACGGTGCAACCCACACCCCACATCTCTGGGTGAGTCCCGCAGTCCTAGCAAGCAACATGGAAGCGGGGGTTTCCAAGATGGCGGACCCAGCTACACGCAGCAAGCAACTGCAACAACCTGTCATACCAGGCCCCATCAACAAAGATTTGGGTTATTAATTCCTCATGAACATATGGGATTATAAAAATATATACATATATATATACATATATATGTATATATAGTCTTTATTCCTCTAGAGTTTATAATCTAAAATAATTGCAAATCCACCCCCTGACTCCCACCCCTCTTTATATGGACATTCTACAGAGATTTCTAAATTGTCTTATGAGACATTTAGGAATATCATGGACTTTGTTCCATGACAAAATATTAATGTTTATTGTGGGTGGAGTAAATGTATCTCCCCCTTTTTTTCATATGTGTATTAAGTTATGTGATGATCAGCCCAAGAATAATAAATCATATTTTTTAAATTAAAGAGAGGAACAAGAAGGGAAAGAAAATGACAATCCATTATATTAATGCTTAATATAATATCAATTAATGCACAAGGCTTGAACACCCAGAGGAAAAGACAAATGATATATGACTCCTTTATCAGATAATAAATCCAGATAGGTTTCATCCAAGAGACACATTGGAAACTGTCGGAACCTCAGAAATGGGGGGTAAATAAATATAAACGTATTTATCAGGCATCCCTAGAAAATAATAAAAAAACATGGGGTTGCGATAGATTTTTATGTTAATTTAAAATTAGAGGTATTGCTTCAGGATTGTGACCCGTCAGGTAGATTTTTAGTACTGGTCTGTAAGATAGAAGAAAAAATTTACACTATTGTAAATGTTTACTTACCTAATGTAAATCCAATGTCAACATTCTCAAAAATTATCAACAGAATAGAAAAAATATCAAAAGGCGTATTTATAATTGCTGGTGATTTTAATTGTGTTTTTGAAAAAAATAATTCTTAGTTCAAATCAGATAAAGCAATTTTAAAATAATCTAAGAAATTAAATAATTTATGCAATACATTTGGGTTGTATGATGCCTGGAAGGCTATCTATTCGGAAGGTCGAGACTACACATATCTGTCTAAACTGCACAATTCTTATTCTAGAATCGATATTTAGTTAAAGGACCACGTTAGTGCCAGGAAAGCAAACACATTTTCCTGGCTCTATAGGGTCTTTAGGTTCCCCCCCCACCCTCAGGGTCCCACTCTTGCCGGGCTGCATGGGGAGGAAGGGGTTAAACTCTTACCTTTCTCCAGCACTGGGCTCCCTCGGCGCTGGGGAATTCTCCTCCCTCTTCCGACGTTAGCGTTGAATGCACATGCGCGGCAAGAGCCGCACGCACATTCAATCAGTCCATAGGAAAGCATTTCTAAATGCTTTCCTATTGACGTCAGCGTCTTCTCACTGTGATTTTCACAGTAAGGAGCGTGGAATCGCCTATGAAACTGCTATGTTTACAGCTGCAGGGTTAACCCTAGATGGACCTGGCACCCAGACCACTTCATTCAGCTGAAGTGGTCTGGGTGCCTATAGTGGTCCTTTAAAGCCAGCACAATAAAATACAACTTAAAGAAAATACATGGTCTGATCATAGTTTTGTAATACTAGAACTAGGTAAATCTAAGGCCCAGGGATTAAGTACTCGGAGGATAGATGATTCCATATTGAAATCAAAATAAAATCAAGAAAATTTTATGGAATTATCTAGTTTCTTCTGGACTGAAAATGTCTCTCCAGATATTATGGATTCTACATTATGGGCCACCTACAAAGTAGTAATGAGAGATTACTTCATCAAAATTAAAAAACAGATGAAAAAATTAAAGGGTAAAGATCTCGTTGATTTATATATATATTTTTTAAACTTTCAAATTTAAATAAAATCCAACTTTCTAGACAGAATATGATAAAGTTATCTGAACTTCAGAATAAAATTAATTTTAAAACAGAAGAAAAGATAAAAAAAACTTTAAACAAACTGAGATCAAATACGTATTATCAAGGTGGATGACCAGCTGTCACATTATCGTGAAACACTTTTAGTACCTCCTCTCTTTTTAGTAACAGAATAAACAATCTATCTTGAGGTTTATCACTAAGTGCCTGAGTCTGAGCTGCCATTATAGCACAAAGAAGAGGAGAAGACAAGGAAAGGACCATAGAGGCAATGATACATTCAGGTGGTATGATGGGAGAGGTTTCTTGTTCTTGTTCCGCCTCTAGGTCAAATTGCCTAGATAGAGCGTCCACCTTAACGTTCTTAGGACCAGGCCTGTATGTGATGAGAAAGTTAAAGCATGACAAGAACAATGTCATCTACAAAATATGTTCCAAAGAAAAGGAACCAAAAAGTGGTGGATAACCCTTTGGAATAAGAGCATATAACTTAAAGTAAAGAAATCCCAAAAGAACAACTAATATAATTCTATGAACGATACATACAAAAGGATTCTAAAAGACAATACCCGCACATGTAACCAATGCTGACTTATATGGGAAAAATCCTTTATTGTTGAGTGGTATGTTTACTAAATGTCTTAAAAAAGGGGGGTTTACCACTACTAAGGAAGATAATAAGGAGAAGTCAGAGCCTACCTCAGTAATTGTATCAAGGTATCATCTCTTCCCAAAGTGGCAAAACAGTAGCAGTAATAATAAACTGTTAAATCAAATAGGGATAGTATACACAGGGAAATGCCAAAAGTAGGAAAATATAAGTCCTATTATGATCGTGCACACGGCACATATCTTTCAATGAGTTCCTAGGCACCTAAGATATTTAGGTAACAATGACCATCTAGCTTGTCTAGAAGACAGCCTTTTAGCATCTCCAACGTATGCTAAGTTTTTGTGATCAGTTTTGATCAGAAGGGGGTCCTTGGAACCCTCTAAAAGATGTTGCCATTCTTTCAGAGCCAGGATAATGGCTAACAATTCCTTGTTTCCAATATCGTGGTTACGTTCTGCTGGCAACAACCTTCTAGAAAAAACCCACCCTCTGAGAAAGGACAGCCCCAAACCCTGTCTCAGAGCCATCTACCTCTAGTATGAAGGGTTTGTTCGTGTCAGGGTGTACCAATATGTCAGCAGAAGCGAATCATTTCTTAAGTAGCTCAAAAGCTTATTTAACTGCATTAGAACACATCTTACAGTCAACCCCCTTTCGCATCATATTGGTGATTTGTGCTATAATAGTAGAGAAACCTTTGAAGTGAAAACGAAGCCAAAGTCAAATACCAGAAAATCAAGATCAGGAACGCACTCTCGGATTACCATCAGGATGAAACCACGACAGGGTAATGAGCAAAAGGAGAATTGGGTTTAAATAACCCTCCTGTGCATCCGATTGGCTGTAACCGGCCTTTGACCCCAAAAGCAATTACCAGGTTTCCATGTGCATGATTGCGGCTCAACACAACTTTTCCTGTCAGGACAGTAATGCTGCTCGGCACAACTTTTCCTGTCAGGATGGTAAATGCCATTAACCACATTTTTATGTGCGGATGAATACATGACAGTTTTATTGATAGAGCCTTTGGCAATTAATATTAGAGAAAATAAATAAATAAAAGGATTTCCAACTGAAAAGATAGATTCAAAAATATCCCTCTATGCTGATGATATTTTACTGTCATTAACATCCCCAGCATTGTCTCTCCCCTGGTTGATTCATGAAATAGATAAATACAGTGAAGTGTCAAATTATAAATTAAATGTATCAAAATCAATTGCTTTAATTAAAAATATAAATAATGCTAATATCAAAGATCTTAGAGAAAAATATAATTTTAACTGGACAACAAACGAATATAAACATCTAGAGCTAACAATTTCAGTACAAATTGAGAATACGATGAAAATAATGTTCTTTTCTATTAAGATATACCAACAAGTCTTTAAAAGAATGGCAACTACTAGAATCTTCCTGGATGGGTAAGATCAACACGATAAATGCCTACATTATCCCAAAATCTGTTGGATGAGTATGATACAATCCATTTTCCAGGCATATATTTGGAGATATAAACAAGGGGCCTAAATTATCCTGATATAAAACAATGTTGCCAATATAATTGGTCATGTATATAAGTTGCAAGCCGATACATCAATAAACAAAATCTGGTATATATTGGAATCTGAAGCAGTAGGAATGGTTAGACTTGAATTCTATTTATGGTTTAACAGCGGTAAAAAAAGACACGGAGCAAATATATAACAAATCATTACTGTTATCCCAGACTATTCAAGCTTGGGATGTAATAAAAAAACATTTGAAATTGACACAAAAAATACCTAAAACATGTAGACTAATTACATTAGAAAATAATCTCCAAGATATATCATTGAAGAACTGGTTTAAAAATGAATTGCAAATAGCTGACATTATACAAATTTCAACTTCAATAAAGAGCTTTTCATTAAATAAGGCCTTATTGAGAAATTTGAATATAATTACTAATCTAACAGAAACTGTTTCTCATATAAAAAAGTTAAACAGGTGACAACAAAAGTTAACAGTCTAATATCTTCCATTAAAGGACCACTATAGTGCCAGGAAAACAAACTTGTTTTCCTGGCACTATAGTGCCCTGAGGGTGCCCCCACACTCAAGGTCCCACTCCCGTGGTGCTGAAGGGGCTTAATCCCTTACCTTTGTTCCAGCGCCGGGCTCCCTCGGCGCTGGGGACTCTCCTCCCTCTTCTGACATCCCTGGCTGAATTTGCATGCGCGACAAGTTCAGCCAGTCCATAGGAAAGCATTCTCAATGCTTTGCTATGGACGCTGGCATCTTGTCACTGTGAAAATCACAGCGAGAAGCGCGGAAGCACCTCTAGCGGCTGTCAATGAGACAGCCACTAGAAACTGGATTAACTCATAAGTAAACATAGCAGTTGAAACTGCTTTGTTTAAAGAGTTTATATAAATGGAAAAATACATTGGATTTTGAAATAACTGAAAAGGAATGGTGCCGTTCATTTAAAGCCATACAAGAAAACATTCCCTGTTTGAATTTAGTCGAATGTCAGTTTAAGAT